TGTGCCGGGCTGCGGCTGGGCCCCGCACCGCGGGTGTCCGCTGTTACCCCGAGATGGGGAGGCCTCTCGGGCAGGCAGCGCCCTGCTCCCGCTTTCGTGTAGGCTACTTTTCTTAAATCCCACCCTACGGGACGTTCTCCGCGTCTCGTGTGTCTTTTTGTTTTCCTCAAGACTGAGAGAGAGTGGAAAAAATGTAATTAAAAACAGGCAAGAAAAGATAGATGGTATCAGAGTGAAACGCATTTAGAGAGAAAAAGATAAGGGTATCAGATGAGATGTAACTGAAAAGCTTCTTTTCCTGAAATAGCGGAGTGTTACTGTTTATTGTTATATATTGATCTCCAGCACCACGGGTGGCGGAGACACAGAACGCGTACGCAGCCCCTTGGGAAGAGGGGCACCCTGCAACGGGAGGCCCTAGGGGGGCGACAGGACGAGCTGCTGCATCCTCCTGCCTCATCTGTACTGGAGAAGTGGGAGCCTCGGGAGGGACTCGGTTGCGGGAAGGAAAATCTAAGCAAGCCAGGGCACTTGGCACCACCAAGTCAGCAAGGGGAAAAAAAAAAGAGTCAAAAGGCCCGGACGGGTGAAGTTCAGGGCTTGAGGTTTGCTGTAATGCGCAGGTCGGAGGGAGCAAGGGCAGCCTGCAGCACAGCTAGATGGACTTCGAGGAGGTATTTTAAAGGAAAACTGAAAATGGCTTGTGATGGGATTTTACAAGGAATTTAGTCAAGTAGTGAAAACTGCAATACCTGGGACAGTCATTCACTGCCATCCTCCAACACGTGACTGAGGTTTATCAGACATTATATGGCCAGCGAAGACTTGACTTTTCAAAGCTCTGACAACGCACAAATTTATAAGTACTCCAGGATGCAGCTGGCGAGATGAGGTGAAAGTACAGAGGAGCAGGAAAGCAAAAAAGAAACATGAATCTCACGCTGTCAAATTTAAATATTGTCTAAACCCGAGGGAAAAGAGAAAAGTCTAGATGAATCTTTTTGAAAGAAGTTGCTTAGGAGTACATGGGGCAAACTCGCCTCTAGATGAGGAAGTTCCATTTCCCAAGTGAACTGAGGGGTACTGACATCTGACTCAAGGAAGAACAGTAGTTTTGTTGAGTGGATTGCTCTTGTCTGGTGCGGCCTGATGCAGGTTTTGCCCAAACTGATAAGCAGTGAGATCAGTTTTGAAATTAAACTCTACCAAAGGTGACAGTGGCTGAAGGAAGACAAAACCCAGCAGCCAAATGTGTTCCAGGAAAAGCCTCCCCTTTGAGTTCACTCTGGTCTCGGCACGCGCTGGGAAGAGCTATTCATAGCATAAGTTGAGAAACTCCAGCTCGTCATTACGTGACAGGGTTTGAACCTACACGTGTCCAAGTCTCACTTGACCTTAGCGTCACCCACGCAGCTCTGCTGGTGTTTAGGTCTAAAGATCAGTATTTTTAGCATAGTCCATCAGATATGATTCTGAGCCATCAGGCACCACATACAGCAGCAACTCTTACCTTAAAAATGCTTTTTTTAGGAAACAATGCTTGTCTGCTTCTTCCTAGGTAAAAGGAGCAGGGTTTTTGCCACAGTGAGCAATAGTAGTTCTTACTTCATGGGAAGATGTGTAAAGAAAATGTAATTACATCTCAGATTGTTGTACATACTATGTTACAGTTCTCATCAAGGCTTATGAAAACATGCTGCTTATACATCATAAAGCATGCTTGCTTTTCTATAAGATAGTAAATGCTTACTGCCATTGCTAACCTGACAGAACTATACCTAATCCAGCATCTCCATCCTACACTTAGGAACGTGTCCCATACTTTCTTATCTTCAAACGTGGGGCACGATCCAGGCTCATTTCCTCTAAGAGAACAGAGAGACCTGCTGTGCCAGATGGTTGCACTGCTACTTTAGCTACATTTTTTCAGCGTTCTGCATTCCCTACCAGTTGTGTTTCATTTAGCGCCCAGTAAACAATAAAATCTAAGAAACAAAATTTTCTCAGGCTGCTGTTAAGAGATCCTTGGAAACACCTGCACCTTTTGGAACGAGAACATTGCCAGGAAACTTTCCAGTCCTGTGCCAGCAACAACTGCGTTCATTAGTCGTCTTTTTTCCACTGAATAGGTAGATTGCCAGCAGTGGTAGAGCAGCCTTTCTGTACCTCAGCTCTGATCTAAACGGAGAACTTTTGCAACCAGTTCAATTTTTGTGACCAGCCAGTCCTTGGCATTTCTTTTACAGCAGCCAACAAGATGAGTAGTTATTGACAATTTCTGTTGTGGCAGACACACCTAGTGAGAACTAGACTTACATTCACTAGCCCATTTCCTAATATCTCTTAAGTAACTGACAGAGTCAACCACAGCTCAACATCTTCCCCAGTCTGTTTGGGAAAGAAGAAACGTTCAACCCTTCTTGACCTTCTAGGTACGTGCAAGCGCTAGTGTGTACCCAGCAAAAAGGCAGACTCCTCCCAGAACACAGCTGTCAGCTTCCAGAGGAATCGCTGGGTTTTGCAAGATGTGCAAAACTGCGAAATGGTATTTAGCAAGAATTTATATCTACAAACAAAAAGATAAATGTTTGCTTTGCTGCTCGTGAATTCAGGGTAGACATGAGTCCACATGGAAGTTTATTTCGTGTGAAATACTGTTTAAAATTCAGTCATGAATGTTCTGGGTTACAAAGCAGCATAGAATTGTTGTTGCTTTGTAAAACGGTGCGAGGCTTACAGATTTTTCATAATTATCAAAGACAATTTCCCAAGTCTCTCCACTGATCTCACATTAGTCATTGTTCTCTAAATCAGATTAAAGGGGAGTCTATAAGCATCACAACAGTAAAAATTTAGCTGTTAAATTGCATCTCTGGAAAGATCGAGAGAAATTCAGAATACTGCCTGAAGAGAGTAAAATTTCTCGTCGTCTCACGTCTGCTTAGTCCTTACAAAATTAAAGAAGAGGAAGGGGCATATTTCCTCTGTATATCTTCCCAGATGAACCATTAGAAGCCTTCCCTCTGTCACAACATTAGCTAAAATGCGTAAGTAAAAGCTCCTGACGAATACGACAGGCTTCCGAGTCCATTGATTCCATTTGCTCGTACTCTTCTTCCGGTTGCTCCATGTGTCCTGTGGCCGGAGAAGACCACACGTCCAGCCCGTGTTCCAGGGAGATGTTATGGAGCACACAGCAGGCCAGAATGATGTGGCTGGATTTCTCTGGAGAATACTGCAGGGTGCCTTTGGACCCATCCAGGCAGCGGAAACGTGACCGAATGGTTCTGAACGTCCGCTCAATGACATTGTGAGTGGCAGAATGCGCCATGTTGTAACGATATTCTGCAGGTGTCTCAGGGATATGCAGAGGGGTCATCAACCACGTTCGGAGAAAGAAGGAGCTGTCACCTGTTAGCAGTGAAAAAGAGGAGGACAGGTTATATATCTACAGTTAATCACAGACTGCAGCTCTTCACCCTCGGTTTTCTTGTACTGCAGATACAGAATAACTTATTCCTGTGGCTAAAACAGAAGGCATGAGAAAACACCTAACTCAGGTTTACAAATGTGACAAACAACAAGATAGAGACATTCTCTTTTACACAGGGAAATCCTGGATGAACACAGAAGAGTTCTAAGAGAATTCATTCACCACATAATACAGTGAAAGACAGCTGGACTAGGACCCTACACAGAATTTAAAATTGCATAATTCAGCTTAGAAAGGTGTAGGATACTGAAAACAAGGTCTTAACAGAATGAATGTAAACTCATACATACAACAATCAGACCGTATAAAACACAGATTGGAAGTTACTGTTCTAGACTTCTAAGAGAAGGATCGTCCAAACTGCATTGAAAATCTCAAGGAATTTGCAGGAAAGCAATTAAAAGTAAGCATATGACTTGTTCCCAGAGGCTCTAGACTCAATAAGGAGCCGATATATAACAGACTTGCCACAGAAAACAACGATGAAAATTTGACTTACCAAGTAGCCAGCCATCTTTATGTAGCTCAGTTTCAAATTGGCTCGTAAGGGCTGCCTGTTGTAACACTGTGCAGTCGGGCAGGCTGCCTGGCCAGTGTGTTTCCGCACTCAGGAGGACTCCTCTGGCATCACACACCATCAAGCAGTTCAGAGAATGGAGACCCTTTCGGTTCACATAGGACAGGTCCTCAGCATTTGGCGCTTTGATTGCCACGTGGGTGCAGTCAACCACCCCCAGCACTCCTGGCATGCCTGCCAGCCCATAAAAGTCATCCTTCAGGCTCTGAACGGTAGCTTCATCCTCAGGAAAGTGAATGAACTGTGAGGCCCTTTCCACCAATGCCTCGGTTACATTGGCAACGCAGCGGCTCATAGAGGCTTGACTAATGCCAATAGCATCCCCCATGCGAGTCTGGAAGGAGCCGGAGGTATAGAAACCCAGTGCAGCAAGTATCTGCGTCTCTGGACTGATGGCCCTGGACCGCTGCGTAGGGCGAGAGAGACTATCCCCCAGGAGATCCACCAGGTAGTAAATGAACTGTCGGGGAAAGCCATACGTGGATACTAAATACTCATCCGTGACATCCTCCAGCTTGAAGCGATCCAAAGTCCTGTGTCCGCGGCCATACAGCAAGAGGTCGCAGTCAAGAACTGCAATAGGTACAGCCATGGCGAACGGCCAGGGGGTCCTCTGGGGCTCCTCTGTTACAGAGCTTTCCCCAGAGCCTTCACCTGCATAAACCAAACGGGGAGGAGACTCAGGATGGTTTTTGCCGGTCAGCCTTTCAGGCTCCGTTACCGTTCAGGTTATGCAACAAACCCTTTTACTTCCTTGTACCTGCTTTTAAAAGCACGGGGCCAAAGCAGGGCGGCCCAACGCGGGGCTGACAACTCTCCAGCCCTGCCTGGCGCTGACAGGAATTTACTTCCCGTGACGGGGAGGGGGCTGGTGAACCACAGCAGCCCGCTTCCCGGGCTGGGGAACCTTC